TTGTCTTCCATTTTACAATTCAACTTAGAGTAAAACTGTATATGTGTGTGTGTGTGTTTGCGTGTTAGTAAAAGAGTGCATAAAAGCAAAACACCCCTGCCCTCCGACAAGTTCAAAAATGTAATGAATGTTTTACTGCCATTTTGTTCTGTTGCTTTTTTTCTTGCAAATTTAGCTGGTAATGTGAAGTTGATGCCAGAATATCATTGTTTAATTTGCATTTTTAGTTGTGTAAGTGCAAGAAACAAAGAAAAAGCTTATTATGCATAATATTCCCGACAACCAGCTGCTGGTGAATGCAGAAATTGTAATGGATATTAGATAAATAAATATTTTAAATGTCAGACGTTTTGGAAAATAATATTTATTTATACCTTTTGTTGGTTTTAGCAAATGTGCTAGAAAATTTTTGGTTAGAAAAAGAATTTTAAATTAAATTAGAAACTAAGATAAACAAGTTAGAGTACTATATTCGGCTATGCCGAATCTTAAATACCCTCCACCAGCAAGCTACTTTTTATTGAAACCCATTTAACTATCTAATTTTTAGATAACTTGGCAAAATTTTTGTTTCCTTATTGAGGGTACTAACATTTATGCATGTGTCAAACTAATTTTAATTAGGTCGAGAAAAATGTATATTAATATGGGAGCTAAGACAACCTATGGAGCGATCCGGAAGAAAAAATCCGTAGAATGATTTATATATACAAAATACACATTTATGTCGAATTTTATCCCGATAACTTTGATTGTTAATGTGCATTTGAGTAATTTTCGGAAATGGTCCTTATATGGGAGTTGTGACCAATTATCAACCGTTAAGGGAAAAATTTCAGACCTTATATGGGAGCTATGACCAATTATGGGCCTATCCGGAAAAAATTTAGTGGAATAATTCATATTTATACGAAATATATTTATGTCGAATTTTATCACGATAGCTTTATTTGACAATGAAATATGTATTTTTAAGTGATTTTCGGAAATGGGGTTATATGGGAGCTATGACCAATAATGGACCGATCCGTAACAAAATTAGTGAAATGATTTGTATGTATACAAAACATATTTGTGTCGAATTTTATCCCGATATCTTTATAATTCAATGAAATATATGCGTTTAAGTGATTTTCGGAAGTGGACTTTATATGGGAGCTATGACCAATTATGGACCTATCCGGAAAAAATTTCGTAGAGTGATTTATATTTACACTAAACATATTTGTGTCGAATTTCATCAAGATAGCTTTATATGACAATGAAATATGAGCTTTTAAATGATTTTCGGAAGTGGGCCTTATATGGGAGCTATGACCAATAATGTACCGATCCGTAACAAAATTAGTAAAATGATTTGTATGTATACATAACATATGTGAGACGAATTTTATCCCGATATCTTTATAATTCAATGAAATATATGCGTTTAAGTGATTTTGGGAAGTGGACTTTATATAGGAGCTATGACCAATTATGGACCTATCCGGAAAAAATTTCGTAGAGTGATTTATATTTAGACTAAACATATTTGTGTCGAATTTCATCAAGATAGCTTTATATGACAATGAAATATGAGCTTTCAATGATTTTCGGAAGTGGGCCTTATATGGGAGCTATGACCAATAATGGACCGATCCGTAAAAAATTTCGTAGAATGATTTGTATGTACACAAAACATGTTTAACTCGAATTTTATCACAATAGTTTTATTCATCAATGAAATATGTGCGTTTAGGTGATTTTCGGAAGTGGACCTTGTATGGGAGCTATGGCCAATTGTGGACCGACTGAGATCTGCGTTGACAGTATGATTTCTGTTCACATTATATTTATATGTGCAAAATTTTGTGTTGATACCGATATATTTGAGGGAGTTATTAGCGATAAACTAATTTCCGGGAATATATACCTTTGTATGGGGGCTATGGGAAATATTGAATCGATTGTAAAGATTTTCAACATAATTAATCACTGCCATGAAAAAATAATGTGTGACAAAATTCATCGAAATATCTTTGGTAGTTTCTGAGAAAACTTCAAAAGAATGATGAAAAAAACGTAATTTTTTTCGAGGTAGTCTGAAATTTTTACTCATAGCTTTTTACGTTGTGAACCAATTTTGCTGATTTTCAATACCAAACTGCTTAGGATAACAATAAATATTTTGGGTGAATTTGGTTGATTTCCTTTGCTTAGTTTTAACGTGAGCGTGTTTTACACAGACAGACAGACAGACAGACAGACAGACAGACGGACAGACGGACAGACGGACATAGCTAAATCGACTCAGAATTTCATAAGGACCCAGAATATATATACTTTGTTGGGTCTTAGATGAAAATTTCTTGGTGTTACACACGGAACGACAAACTTATATATACCCTCTATCACCACTGATGGTGGTGGAGGGTATAAAAATATTTATGGGAAATTTTCTAAAAAAAAAGAAAATTTATGTAAAATTTTCTAAAAGAAAAAAATTATGTAAACACTTACTTTAAAAAGAAAATTTGATGAAAATTTTCTATAAAAAGAAAACTTATGGAAAAATGTCTTTAAAAAGAAAATTTATTGAAAATTTTCTCTAAAAAGAAAATTTGAGAAAAATTTTCTATAAAAAGAAAATTTATTGAACATTTTCTTTAAAAAGAAAACTACTTATGGACAATTTTCTTTAAAAAGAAAACTACTTATGGACAATTTTCTTTAAAAAGAAAACTACTTATGGACAATTTTCTATAAAAAGAAAATTTATGGACAATTTTCTATAAAAGAAAATTTATGGACAATTTTCTATAAAAAGAAAATTTATGGACAATTATCTATAAAAGAAAATTTATGGACAATTTTCTATAAAAAGAAAATTTATGGACAATTTTCTATAAAAAGAAAATTTATGGACAATTTTCTATAAAAAGAAAATTTATGGACAATTTTCTATAAAATGAAAATTTCTATAAAAGAAAATTTCTATAAAAAGAAAATTTCTATAAAAGAAAATTTCTATAAAAGAAAATTTATTGAAAATTTTCTATAAAAGAAAATTTATGGAAAATTTTCTATAAAAGAAAATTTATGGAAAATTTTCTATAAAAGAAAATTTATGGAAAATTTTCTATAAAAGAAAATTTATGGAAAATTTTCTATAAAAGAAAATTTATGGAAAATTTTCTATAAAAGAAAATTTATGGAAAATTTTCTATAAAAGAAAATTTATGGAAAATTTTCTATAAAAGAAAATTTATGGAAAATTTTCTATAAAAGAAAATTTATGGAAAATTTTCTATAAAAGAAAATTTATGGAAAATTTTCTATAAAAGAAAATTTATGGAAAATTTTCTATAAAAGAAAATTTATGGAAAATTTTCTATAAAAGAAAATTTATGGAAAATTTTCTATAAAAGAAAATTTATGGAAAATTTTCTATAAAAGAAAATTTATGGAAAATTTTCTATAAAAGAAAATTTTGGAAAATTTTCTATAAAAGAAAATTTATGGAAAATTTTCTATAAAAGAAAATTTTTGGAAAATTTTCTATAAAAGAAAATTTTTGGAAAATTTTCTATAAAAGAAAATTTTTGGAAAATTTTCTATAAAAGAAAATTTATGGAAAATTTTCTATAAAAGAAAATTTATGGAAAATTTTCTATAAAAGAAAATTTATGGAAAATTTTCAATAAAAGAAAATTTATGGAAAATTTTCTATAAAAGAAAATTTATGGAAAATTTTCTATAAAAGAAAATTTATGGAAAATTTTCTATAAAAGAAAATTTATTGAAAATTTTCTATAAAAGAAAATTTATGGACAATTTTCTATAAAAGAAAATTTATGGACAATTTTCTATAAAAGAAAATTTATGGACAATTTTCTATAAAAGAAAATTTATGGAAAATTTTCTATAAAAAGAAAATTTGTGGAAAATTTTCTATAAAAAGAAAATTTATGGAAAATTTTCTATAAAAAGAAAATTTATGGAAAATTTTCTATAAAAAGAAAATTTATGGAAAATTTTCTATAAAAAGAAAATTTATGGAAAATTTTCTATAAAAAGAAAATTTATGGACAATTTTCTATAAAAAGAAAATTTATGGACAATTTTCTATAAAAAGAAAATTTATGAAAAATTTTCTATAAAAGAAAATTTATGGAAAATTGTCTATAAAAAGAAAATTTGTGGAAAATTGTCTATAAAAAGAAAATTTATGGAAAATTGTCTATAAAAAGAAAATTTATGGAAAATTTTCTATAAAAAGAAAATTAATGGAAAATTGCCTATAAAAAGAAAATTTATGGAAAATTTTCTATAAAAAGAAAATTTATGGAAAATTGTCTATAAAAAGAAAATTTATGGAAAATTTTCTATAAAAAGAAAATTTATGTAAAATTTTCTATAAAAAGAAAATTTATGGAAAATTTTCTATAAAAAGAAAATTTTCTATAAAAAGAAAATTTATGGAAAATTTTCTATAAAAAGAAAATTTATGGAAAATTTTCTATAAAAAGAAAATTTATGGAAAATTTTCTATAAAAAGAAAATTTATGGAAAATTTTCTATAAAAAGAAAATTCAAGGAAAAGTTTTTTATAAAAAGAAAATTTATCGAAAATTTTCTATCAAAAGAAAATTTATCGAAATTTTTCTATAGAAAGAAAATTAATAGAAAATTTTCTATTAAAAGAAAATTTATGGAAAATTGTTTATAAAAGAAAATTTATTGAAAATATTCTATAAAAAGAAAATTTTTAGAAAATGTACGAAAATTTTTTATAAAATGATTGAAATATTTTAAAAAGAAAACTGTGATATGTTGCTGAGAGAAATGTGAAAAAAGAGAGAAGATAATTCATCAAAATTCTGAACTAATACTTAAAGTAATATGGATGAAGAGCATACTTTTAGTCGCAAAATAAATTTTATATTTATCATAAAAGAATCATAACACTTTCAAAATTTACTTTGCATTAGTAAACAATTTAAGATAAGAAAACGTTTGCATTTTATTAATATTTTTTAATACTTTATTTTTTTACAACTTCAAACTAAGTACATAATAACTGCTTAATAAAACATTCTATTCGTACAGCAATTACAATTGAGCTGGTACCAATTTATAGAAATCCACTAAACGTTGAGCTTCACGCCATCCCGATTCCACAGCACCGTGAACCGTAGAATAATAATGATTGTGGGTAGACTCACCAGCGAATTGTACTCTGGGTTTACCCTGAACATCGGTCAAAGGATAAGCCAAATCCCAGGCTCCAGTACGTAACTCATCGGTGTACATGGAACGAAAAGTGTAGCTGCCACGAAAACTGGCATTGGAATACCATTGGGTGCGTTTAAAGTTGATGGGTTGTGGTATGGGGAAAGTAAAGAATTTTCTAAACAACCATAAAAGACCATTCAAAACCTCTTCTTCGGGTAGGGATTCCATATGACGAGCATGAGGACCTATAATCCAGCCTTGCCAGAGTCGGGGTTGGTAAGAGACACGATAGAAACCAAATACACTTTCCAACCAGAACAGCTCAGATCTTCTTAATTCCTTAAGTTCTTCTTCCTGCCAAAGGAAGCACACACCCGACCAGTCTTGAGGGCCAAAAGGTTCTTTAAACTCTAGGAAGAATTTGTCAACTGTGCCCAATTTTAAACCTTCAATGGCTCTAATTTTTTGTCTAGGCAATGAAGGAGTAAATAAGGTCGAGTGGTTTTCCTTTAAAACTCCTAAGGAGGTAGTGCATATAACATGATCGGCCGTTATCACCTGACCATTAAAGCAACGTATTTTGACCTGGTTATCTTGAAGCCAATCAATATTTTGTACTCTATGATTGAGTAAAATACGTTTTGTTAAAACTCCCCAGGGGTTTTTGTCCTGGGCTTTCATTAAAATATCCAAAAAAGTTTTAAACCCCTTATCTTTCCAGTTCAGCAGCAAATCTCCTTCACATAGCCAATATTCCAAATGACCTTTACCGGAAACTTCAAAAAGATGATCAGAGGCTTCTACAGAACTTTCAAATTTCTTAAAATTTTCGAAAAACTCTACAGCCACTGTATGATCCACTTTTGTGGGTAATTTTTCCACCTCACTCCAATATTTCTCAGTCAAATAAGAACCCAACGAACCCTCATAAGCCGTCAAACCCTCTTGTCTTTCGGGTATAGAATTAAAAGCAATCGATTTCAATTGTTCAGCTAGATTTTCCTCCAAAATCTCTTTATTCGATCTAATACATTTGTAGTCATCATAAACAGTGCCCGTACTCTCCAATACATTCAATTTCAATTTTTGTACGGTCTCATAGATGACATTATTTTTCTCACCATGACACCACTGAGCACCCAAATCGACCACACTATCGCCAAACGGTATGGTGTGTATGCGACCACCAATACGATTCTCTGCTTCTAATATAATGACATTTTGACAACCGGCCTCTAGCAATTTAGTAGCGGCCGCTATACCAGATGGTCCGGCGCCGATTACAACAACTCGAGCGGTTTGCAAAGATTTGCGGGTAACACTGGGTGCTAGAGACATTGCTGTTAAAGCTTTTAGTATTTGTCTAATAAGTGGTATTATAAATATTTATCTAATTTATAGTTTAACTAGTATTTATTAATAATTGATTTAAATAATAACACCAAATATATAAAAATAGCACGCACGGTTTCTTCTTTTATGATTAAGTCTATTCAACACTTTGTTTGCTACTGAAATATGTATTTTGCTCTTGCTGGTTGTTTTTAGTTTATTATGCGCATTATCGCTGAGTGTTTTTCACTAAAGAGTTTTATTGTAGTTTATATTTTTTAAGAGAAAAAGGGAGAAATGTGTGAATACTCTCTTAAATTGTAATCTATGCAGGTAAAATACTAAATATCTAATAGATTTTTTTGTATTGTATGTTTTTGCATAGGTAAATAAGTAGATTAAAAATATTATTTATATAAGTAATAAAATTATTTAAAAATAAACGTATTACAGAGGGTTTAATCTATGTATGTAGATATTTGCGGCCTTAGTAGTTTTTTCACAGGTACCCTATATTAGTATACGTGGTATTTTCCAATAGTTTGGTAACACCTGGAAATACACAAAACACTTCAGTTAAGTTCCAGTTCTAGTTCAATTCTAGTTCAGTTTTAGTACGAATTCAGTTCAAATTCAGTTCTAGTTCAGTTCTAGTTCAGTTCTAGTTCAGTTCTAGTTCAGCTCTAGTTCAGTTCTAGTTCAGTTCTAGTTTAGTTCTAGTTTAGTTCTAGTTCTAGTTCAGTTCTAGTTTTAGTTCAGTTCTAGTTCAGTTCTAGTTCAGTTCTAGTTCAGTTTCTAGTTCAGTTCTAGTTCAGTTCTAGGTTCAGTTCTAGTTCAGTTCTAGTTCAGTTCTAGTTCAGTTCTAGTTCAGTTCTAGTTCTAGTTCAGTTCTAGTTCAGTTCTAGTTCAGTTCTAGTTCAGTTCTAGTTCAGTTCTAGTTTTAGTTCTAGTTCAGTTCTGGTTCAGTTCTAGTTCAGTTCTAGTTCAGTTCTAGTTCAGTTCTAGTTCAGTTCTAGTTCAGTTCTAGTTCAGTTCTAGTTCAGTTCTAGTTCAGTTCTAGTTCAGTTCTAGTTCATTTCTAGTTCATTTCTAGTTCAGTTCTAGTTCAGTTCTAGTTCAGTTCTAGTTCAGTTCTAGTTCAGTTCTAGTTCAGTTCTAGTTCAGTTCTAGTTCAGTTCTAGTTCAGTTCTAGTTCAGTTCTAGTTCAGTTCTAGTTCAGTTCTAGTTCAGTTCTAGTTCAGCTTCTAGTTCAGTTCTAGTTTAGTTCTAGTTCAGTTCAGTTCTAGTTCAGATCTATATCAGATCTAGTTCAGTTCTAGTTCAGTTCTAGTTTAGTTTAGTTCAGTTCTAGTTCAGAACTAGTTCAGATCTAGTTCAGTTCTAGTTCAGTTCTAGTTCAGTTCTAGTTCAGTTCTAGTTCAGTTCTAGTTCAGTTCTAGTTCAGTTCTAGTTCAGTTCTAGTTCAGTTCTAGTTCAGTTCTAGTTCAGTTCTAGTTCAGTTCTAGTTCAGTTCTAGTTCAGTTCTAGTTCAGTTCTAGTTCTAGTTCAGTTCTAGTTCAGTTCTAGTTCAGTTCTAGTTCAGTTCTAGTTCAGTTCTAGTTCAGTTCTAGTTCAGTTCTAGTTCAGTTCTAGTTCAGTTCTAGTTCAGTTCTAGTTCAGTTCTAGTTCAGTTCTAGTTCAGTTCTAGTTCAGTTCTAGTTCAGTTCTAGTTCAGTTCTAGTTCAGTTCTAGTTCAGTTCTAGTTCAGTTCTCAGTTCTAGTTCAGTTCTAGTTCATAGTTCAGTTCTAGTTCAGTTCTAGTTCAGTTCTAGTTCAGTTCTAGTTCATTCTAGTTCAGTTCTAGTTCAGTTCTAGTTCAGTTCTAGTTCAGTTCTAGTTCAGTTCTAGTTCAGTTCTAGTTCAGTTCTAGTTCAGTTCTAGTTCAGTTCTAGTTCAGTTCTAGTTCAGTTCTAGTTCAGTTCTAGTTCAGTTCTAGTTCAGTTCAGTTCAGTTCTAGTTCAGTTCTAGTTCAGTTCTAGTTCAGTTCTAGTTCAGTTCTAGTTCAGTTCTAGTTCAGTTCTAGTTCAGTTCTAGTTCAGTTTCTAGTTCAGTTCTAGTTCAGTTCTAGTTCAGTTCTAGTTCAGTTCTAGTTCAGTTCTAGTTCAGTTCTAGTTCAGTTCTAGTTCAGTTCTAGTTCAGTTCTAGTTCAGTTCTAGTTCAGTTCTAGTTCAGTTCTAGTTCAGTTCTAGTTCAGTTCTAGTTCAGTTCTAGTTCAGTTCTAGTTCAGTTCTAGTTCAGTTCTAGTTCAGTTCTAGTTCAGTTCTAGTTCAGTTCTAGTTCAGTTCTAGTTCAGTTCTAGTCAGTTCTAGTTCAGTTCTAGTTCAGTTCTAGTTCAGTTCTAGTTCAGTTCTAGTTCAGTTCTAGTTCAGTTCTAGTTCAGTTCTAGTTCAGTTCTAGTTCAGTTCTAGTTCAGTTCTAGTTCAGTTCTAGTTCAGTTCTAGTTCAGTTCTAGTTCAGTTCTAGTTCAGTTCTAGTTCAGTTCTAGTTCAGTTCTAGTTCAGTTCTAGTTCAGTTCTAGTTCAGTTCTAGTTCAGTTCTAGTTCAGTTCTAGTAGTTCAGTTCTAGTCAGTTCTAGTTTCAGTTCTAGTTCAGTTCTAGTTCAGTTCTAGTTCAGTTCTAGTTCAGTTCTAGTTCAGTTCTAGTTCAGTTCTAGTTCAGTTCTAGTTCAGTTCTAGTTCAGTTCTAGTTCAGTTCTAGTCAGTTCTAGTTCAGTTCTAGTTCAGTTCTAGTTCAGTTCTAGTTCAGTTCTAGTTCAGTTCTAGTTCAGTTCTAGTTCAGTTCTAGTTCAGTTCTAGTTCTAGTTCAGTTCTAGTTCAGTTCTAGTTCAGTTCTAGTTCAGTTCTAGTTCAGTTCTAGTTCAGTTCTAGTTCAGTTCTAGTTCAGTTCTAGTTCAGTTCTAGTTCAGTTCTAGTTCAGTTCTAGTTCAGTTCTAGTTCAGTTCTAGTTCAGTTCAGTTCAGTTCTAGTTCAGTTCTAGTTCAGTTCTAGTTCAGTTCTAGTTCAGTTCTAGTTCAGTTCTAGTTCAGTTAGTCTAGTTCAGTTCTAGTTCAGTTCTAGTTCAGTTCTAGTTCAGTTCTAGTTCAGTTCTAGTCAGTTCTAGTTCAGTTCTAGTTCAGTTCTAGTTCAGTTCTAGTTCAGTTCTAGTTCAGTCAGTTCTAGTTCAGTTCTAGTTCAGTTCTAGTTCAGTTCTAGTTTCAGTTCTAGTTCAGTTCTAGTTCAGTTCTAGTTCAGTTCTAGTTCAGTTCTAGTTCAGTTCTAGTTCAGTTCTAGTTCAGTTCTAGTTCAGTTCTAGTTCAGTTCTAGTTCAGTTCTAGTTCAGTTCTAGTTCAGTTCTAGTTCAGTTCTAGTTCAGTTCTAGTTCAGTTCAGTTCTAGTTCAGTTCTAGTTCAGTTCTAGTTCAGTTCTAGTTCAGTTCTAGTTCAGTTCTAGTTCAGTTCTAGTTCAGTTCTAGTTCAGTTCTAGTTCAGTTCAGTTCTAGTTCAGTTCTAGTTCAGTTCTAGTTCAGTTCTAGTTCAGTTCTAGTTCAGTTCTAGTTCAGTTCTAGTTCAGTTCTAGTTCAGTTCTAGTTCAGTTCTAGTTCAGTTCTAGTTCAGTTCTAGTTCAGTTCTAGTTCAGTTCTAGTTCAGTTCTAGTTCAGTTCTAGTTCAGTTCTAGTTCTAGTTCAGTTCTAGTTTAGTTCTAGTTCAGTTATATTTCAGTTCTATGTAATACATGTCTGTCTTAATTGCAATGATTTTTTTAATATTAGGAAAATTACCAACTAATTTCAAAAATTTCCGAAACTGCTTTGCACACAAAAATTATACGATAAAGATAACAAGACAAAGCAAGGTATGTATGTAAATAGTTTAATTATTTATGTAGAGCATTTTGAGAGTCGTCTTTGTCAGTCTATAATTTATAAAATCTTAAAAAATTATTCTCTCAAACCGCCTTGTGTCTCGTATCAAATGTATTATAAATCTTATCAGTTTTCCTATTTGGCTTGCAGTCAACTAAAATTATATGATATACATACATACAGTGTCAATTACTAGTAAAATAATTTACTAGCTTACAGTAAAGACACTTATAAGTGGTTGTACCTACGAACATTTTAGTTGTAGTAAAATTAGCTAAAATAACTAGAGAATTAAATATTTAATTTCAAAAACAAGTTTACCTATTGCTGTGAACGATAACAAGTACTTTGATTAGAATAATATTATCTTAAGAAGTTATGGGGGATTTACGAGGGGGTGCTAGGAAATTATGGTTTATATATTTCCAAGACTTCACATTAACACAAATCCACTACAAATAAGAATTAAAAATTTATAAAGTTTAATCATCCAATTTCATTATTTAGTAACCTGAAAATCTTATAAAAATTTTTAAATGTCTTTATTAATTCTTAAAGATTATTTAATAGTAAATAATTAAGCACATGATAAAATATACTGACTGTCTGCTTAATATTTTGCAAAATTATAAGTTGTTATAAATTCCATTAATAAAATGCCAGAAGACAAAAGACAAAAATGTAGCAGCAGCAGCAACAAAAATAACAACAATAACCATAAATTAAATTAGCGAAAAAAGAGAACAAAAACATTTTACTTATATTTGCTCATTACAATAAAGACTTTTCAGCATTAACAATTTAAATATTTTATGATTTTCAATTACAGGATAATTGTCAACGGATTGTTAACACAACAACAACAACAACAGAAAAAGACAGCAACAACCACAAATATCATGACTATGATGACAATGAAAATGTTGACACTGACAACCGTAGTGGCAACAAAAATATGCAAAATATCAACTATTTTAAGCTTAATCATAAAAACAACTACAATAACAATAAGAAAAACTCAATGTACCATGAGAAGGACTATAAACAACATAGAGCAGGAGTAGGAGCAGCAACTTCACGCATTGATAAAACACCAGACGACAATAATAAGGTTGATGAGCAGGATGATGAAAATGAGAGTGTGTATAAGCCTGAGCATGATGAGGATGGTGCTGACGATGATGCGAATAATGACAGCGACATTAACATTAACAACAGCTACAGTAATAGCAACAGATACATTCACAGCTACAACCACAAAAAACAAACAATAACAAAAGATTATGCTGAAAATAACAACAACAATATGGTAAACAAGAAAACCAGAAATAATAACAACAAAAACAAACAGAATTTTCAAAATGAGAATGAAGAGGAAATACAACCCGAAGACATGGAGGATGAAGAGGATGAATGGTCAACCTCATTGTCATCCTCATTATTAACAGCAGCAGCAGCATCATCATCGTCCTCATCATCTAGTAGCGGTGGTGGGGCTATAACATCGGATGAAATACAACCAGATATAATACCATATCCGCCACCACCATTTTCCGCAAATAAGCACACAGGCAGTGGCAACCACAACAGCAACAAAAACAACAATACCAACAATGGCAACAACAAAAATAATAACAATAACAGTAATAATAATGATAAACATAAAAATACACATACAAACTGGCTAAAAGAGAAATTCAAACTGGAACACAGTAAACAAAAACAACATCAACACAAACAACTACAGCAGCAGCAACAACAACAACAATACTACGAACACTGGTTACTACAACAATACAATAACAAGCCATATCAAACAGAAAGTCTGGCAACATAGCAGCATCAACACTATCAGCAGCAACAACAACAAAAAGAACAAAAACAAATTAAGCATAAACAAAAACAATACCACGACCATCATAACCACCACCACCAGCAACAGCACCAACATCATCAGCTTCGGCAACAATAAAAGGAACAACAACAACAACTAAAATGGTCACAAAATTACCATAAACATGCAGTTGATAGTTTTTAGTCGAATAAGCTCTAAAACAACAACAACAGCAACAAAAAGTAACCGAAGAGTAAACTTGTAGATAAAATAACAAATGGCTTAAAATGTCAGATGTTTCTATTTAGTTCTGGCTTTCTTTTTTTTCCCTGGATTTTTTTTGCGGAAGTAAAAATTTTTAGCATTTTTATTTAAGCGCAAAAAAAGAAACATGATAATAAAATATTAAAGGGGTTTAGAGTTTGTTGGTGGTAAATCCGATAAGTTTATACTCTTCACTGAAAGGGATCAAGGTGAGAAATGGTTGAATTGTAAACAATTTAAAGCAAGTAAGAATATTATATTCAGCAAGTCCGAATCTGATATATTCACCATCAAAGCATGTACGATATGTGGTTACATAAGTATATGGACTTTGGTCCTACTGGATGGGTTCCTTCTTGATTTATGAACACAGTTTACTCCTTCATAAGATTTATGCTGAGTTGTTTTATCATATTTATGCAAATCGATATTAATATTAACATCATGTTGTTTTTCCGTATAAGGGCTTTAATAGGCCCATTTATGGACCAAACTCTACAGAATTTAAAATAAGGAATTACCCAATTATTTTGCATTTTATGTAAATTACATCCATAATGATATAATGATTCTTATAGAACTTGTTTATATACGTAAAAGTCATTCTCGAAAGGAGAACCATCTATAGGGACTTGGCCCAAATATGCGCCAAAGTTCACCAAACTTTACAGTATCATATCTAACTTATGAAAAATTGTATCACGATTGTGGCTTATGGGTAGTTATCGACTGATTCTCAAAAATTCGATAGGAAGATTTTAGTTTCTATAAAACTTGTTTATGTCTTTATACCAGTAAATAGCGTTTAAGCGATTTTCGGATGGAGACCTTATATGGTCAATTATAGTCCAATCCTCATAAAATTTGGTAAAGACATTTCGGTTTTTACAAAATATACTCGTATTTTTAAGCTAGTTATGAGCATTAAAGTCATATTCTGAAGGGGACTTTATAAGGGGGATCACTTAGTAGAAAGATTTTGGTTACTACAGGACTTGTTTAGGTTAAATTTCATTGCTGTACTCGTATTTTTAAGCCAGTGATGAACGTTAAAGACATTTTCTGAAGGAGGTAGGGTAGGATCAATTAGGGACCGATCCTTTGGTAGAGAAATTTTGGTTCTTACAGAACTTGTTTATGTCGAATTTCATTGCTGTACTCGTAATGAATGTTAAAGATATTTTCCGAAGGGGCTAGGGTCAATTATGGACTAATCCTTTAGTAGAGAGATTATGGTTCTTACAGAACTTGTTTATGTCAAATTTTATCGCTATACTCGTTTTTTTAAACCACTAATGAGCGTTAAAGGTCACCTTATATGGGGAGCGATTCTCATAAAATTTTATACAGAGATTTTGGTTCTTACAGAACTTGATTATGTCGAATTTCGTAGCTATTAAAACAGTTATTACTGTTAAAACTGTTTTCCGGGGGGGCTGTTGTATGGGGGCTATACGAAAATGCCGATTTTCAATACCAAACGAACTGCATCAACTAAAAATATTTTTGCAAAATTTCAGCTCTTTAGCTCGTTCCGTTTGGATTCTATAGTGTTTTCAACAGATAGACGGACGGACATGGCTAGATCGTTTTAGAATTCAATAAGGAACCAGAATATATAACTGTTGTGGGTCTATAACCAATATTTCTATGTGTTACAAACGGAATGAGAAAATCAATAAAACCTCTATCTCTTTTGATGGTAGGTATAAAAATCGAAATACTGACATCAATTGTTAAAATATCTCGAAAAAGGAAGAAGATATAATACAGATAAAAACATTACTTTAAATATAATTTCAAAATGGTTCTACGAACATTGTGAAAAATTAAAGTTTGATTAATACAAAAACGATAAAAGCCATTTCTGGATTCCATAAAAACATATTGATAAATTTCATTATTTTCCGATTCTATATGTCTATAAAGTGTTACTTCAAACCTTGAGCCAAATTGAAAGCTTAATTTCAGTCGCAATACAGATCGGAATTGAAGAACAACTAGCGTCGTTATAGCTTCAAGGCGGCTAGGCTGACAACTTGGATGTATTATTACTACGTATACTTAACTGTTGCCTAGTAACTAGTTTGCTCTAACTGCATGCTACCGTTCTACCTCAAGTGGAGGATTTATTTTTAACCCCTACATTAGGGTATTATTGGTTTATGTTGATATTTGTAACGCATCTAAATCTATCAACATCTTACTTAAAGTATATCAACTAACCCAGAATCACTTTCTGTGTCGACTAAGCCATGTCCGTACGAGTGACTAATGTAATGAAATTTGGTTTATAAACTTAATTGACCAGAATATTAGAGAATGATTCAATAAAATAATTTTGGCAAATGTATAAATTTATACACGCCTGGTAGCAAATTGACACCAAAGTGTTTATAATTTTTCAATAACATCCGTTGTCAAAGTATGTACGGATAGTTGTCAAACTAAAACATAAAAAATTAACGAATTTATTAATCTGTGTATGATTAATTTCAGAAGGTCCTTAATTACAAATTTGTGGATTATTCTTTATTCTATTTGACCTCACACTACAGCCCTAATTTATATTAAAGGACGATTAATATTTAATCCTTGCAAAATACTTTTAAATATTAAATAAACAACAAAAGATTGTTGTCATACATAAATACTATGAAAAAAAGGCTTAAATATAAACAAACCAACCAACCGACAGAACTATAACATGTAAATACTTCTTTAAAAAAAAATAAAATAAAATAAACGTAAATGACTACATGACCATAACGTCAACTTTGATCCTGTTGTGAAGGATATAAAAATAAGGAAAAATAATATAAAAACATCAAAAAGGAAAATTCTTGTGGCAAACAGGCTTAACACAAAAAAGAAAACAAAATAAATAAATATAAAAACAACTTGCAACAATTCACAAAACAAACACCCCCCCAGCAAGTAAGCGTAATAAAACCGTAAACAAGTTTATGGTTTTATATACATACATATATTTTTTAATTTTTATTATTTATTTAAAATTTTAGTTAAATAAATTTAAACCAAATTTTATTTTATTTAGATTAATTAGTGAACAGTGAAATATCTATCAACGAAGCGTTATGCTCTGGCTTCATTTTTTTTAGGTTTTATGTAAATATTAAATTGTAAAAATTTTTATTAAAACAAAAGGATTTTAATATTTAAATAATAAACACAAAAACAACACTTACACAAAAAAAAAACACACACATATCTAGAAACAAACAAAAATATATCTTGATAATTTTAAGTAAATAAAAATAATATTAAGCAAAAACAATGTTAATTGAAAAGTAAATTTTAAAAGAAATTAAAATAAATTGGAAATGAACAAAAAAAATAATTAAAATTGATTTATTTTTAAAATTTTTTCACAATTATTGCAAAATCTTTAAGTTCTGTTAGCGAGGTTTTCTTAATGTAAGTATTTGTTGTATAACGTTTAATGCTGAAAAAAAATATGAAATATTAATTTTCGTAATTTTTACTAAAAACACACTACAGAGTAAAGTTTTACTAAATTATCAGTTTTTTGCAAAAACAAACAATTTTCCACTAAAACACTTTTTTTATGCAAAAGCCTTATCAGGCATTGAGGTTAGCTTGGAGAAACAAAAGCTCTTCGAGTCCAAGACTCACTCCTCTCTCACCTTTTCTCTGGTTATCTCAATCTCCATCCTTCATCCTTTAACTACTCATTTCTTGAACATCTCATATCAAACCACAACTTCCTCTATCCCATTTTTCTCTTGTAATCTACTTACAGGTATCACAAAGCAACCAAATCACAAATTAGTGAAAAATGTCTTTTTGAATACGAAGATTCTTTCACTAATAAGATCAGTTCCTTCACTTTTTCTGTAAACAGTTCATTCTCTAAAGAACAGTCATTTAACTAATAAACTGTACTTTCACTAAGGAATAATTTTCGTATTCATGAACACTTAATAAAGTTATTGATGATTTATTATAGAAATTTTGCTTGGAAAATGTGCTCAATTAACTACAATCACCAAACCTGCTTTATCAGGCAGGTTTGGTGAAACAGCACTGAATAGTAGCTCTTCGAGTCTAAAACTCACTACTCTCATCCTTAACTCTCTAGCTCATTTTCGCAAAAGTACACGTTTTTCACAAACAAAAGTTCATTCAATGAAGAACAGTTTTTTTTTTTTTTTGCTAAAGAAAAGTTATTCCAATGAGATATATTTATTTTACTAAAGAAGTGTACTTTCACTTAGAAATAATTCGTTAACTAAAGAATAATTAGTTTTTTCACTAATGAACATTCACTAAGGAACACATATTTCATTTAAGATATTAGTTCTTCTACTAAACTCAAGACGTGTTCATTCACTAATGAACAGTTCTTTCAGTAAGATGCGTTCTTTCACTAATGAACAGTTCTTACATTAAAGAATCGTTCTTTCAGTCAAGACGACTTCATTTACTAAAGTATAGTTATTTTACTAAAATACAGTTTATTCAATGAAATACAGTTCTTTCACTTATGATCTCTCTTTCCCTAAAGAACAAGTCATTCATTAAAGAACAGATGCTTTACTGAAAACTTTTTCACTAATGAACAGTTCTAAAGAACATTTCATTCACAGTTCATGAATACATATTTCATTAAGATTAGTACTTTTACTAAACTCAAGATGAATTCATTCACTAAAGTATAAAGTAAGTATAGTATATTCAGTAGAAAACAATTCTTTCACCAAAGAACAATTCCTTCAATAATAAAAAGAACTAAAGAACAGTTCTTTCAGTAATGAAGAGAACAGTTCATTTGCTAAAGAGAACATATTTCACTTAAGAATAATTTTTCACTAAAGATGAGTATAGTTCTTTTCTTGTGCTCACTCTTTCACTAGATAGCAGATCATTCACAGAATGACAGTTGGGATTAGCTGTTTTACTAAAGAACAAATCTTTTACTAAAGAACAGCTCATTCACTAAAAGTTTACTAAAGAGCAGTTCTTTTCTAATAAACATTTCATTCTCTAAAAAAACAGATC